AAGCAAAGCCAAGATCATGGCTGTCTGTGCAGTGCAGGTGAATCCTGAGCACTTCTGCAGCTGGAGACCACTCTGGGACAAAGCACAGGTCCCATCCTCGTGGTGCCACCTCTGCTTGGAAAAGTTACAAGGAAAGAGGGGAAGAAGAAGGAAATGAAGTGCTGCAGGTGGCTGTTTGTGTCTGATCTCTGCTGGGAACTTGGGGCTGTTCAGCCTGGAGAAGAAAAGCTGCTGGAGACCTCAGAGCAGCGTCCAGTGTCTGAAGGGGGCTACAAGGGTGTTGGAGAGGGGCCTTCATGAGGGACTGTAGGGACAGGACAAGGGGTGATGGGTTCAAACTGAAACAGGGGAAGGTCAGGTTGGATCTAAGGAAGCTCTTCCCTGTGAGGGTGCTGAGGCGCTGGCACAGGGTGCCCAGAGAAGCTGTGGCTGCCCCATCCCTTGGAACTGGATGAGCTTTAGTGTCCCTTCCAACACAAACCACTCTGGGATTCTATGAAACAAGCAGATCTCGAAGGTAAACCTGCCCAAAAGTTTCCTCCACATCTTATTCCTGTAGTTGTTCCCTCGATTTGGAGTCGCTCAGGTAAACGGGGTGCTCCCTTTCCTGCAGGAAGCGTGGAAAGCTTGGGAAGAAACCACAAACTCCAGGAAAGGCAGTTATGACATTCATGGATGGGTGACAGTGTTCACGCTGTGCTGGCTTCTAAGCCTCTGTGTGGTCCCTTATCTAAACCAGCATCTGCCAGACATTCCTCTGGAGTCACAGCTCCTGACACGAGATGGATGGAGCCCTGTGTCCAGCAGGGAAGAAGCCTGCCAGGATCCAGGGTCTCATTACAACAGCTGTGGAAGGTCTGACCAGGATCCATCCGACCCTGGATCCTGGCTTGGAAAGGGGAGCATGGAGGAGCAGACGGAGCTCACACGCTTCAGGACCAGATGTGCTCATGGCCTTGCCCATAACCTTCAGGGAGGGGGTGATTTTGGCACACTCTCCCTGTGTAGCTTGATCCTATGGCATTGTGGCATCTGGCAACACGGAGCTGCATGGATCTGGGACCAGACGGCTGCTTCCCACCATCGCTGCTCCAGATGCCACCACCACGTCTTGGGCTTGCTCTACACAACACCTTCCCTCTGGTGGCTTGGCAGTGATGAACCACTCAGTGCTCCATAAGACACATGCCTTTTCCCATGCCGGGAGAGTTTTTCCCCTCCAATGCAGCCTCCAGCCCTGCATCCTGCTTTGCCCCATCTGTTCCTCATAACCCGTTTCCCAGCCGCCGGCATCCCTGCGGATCGGGCTGGTTTCAGCCTGTTTTCTCTATTGTTCCTGCATCTTCTGCTCATGTCTCTGCTCGGGGGCATTGGTGGAGGGATTCTGACCCCACTTTTATCCGTGGCTCTGCAGGCAGCTTCCCTGCCAGGCACTGGAGGAGGAGGGATGGCTCCCTGTGGAATGTGGGGCTCAGGAGCTGACCTACTGCATCGCTCTCGGCCGTTCCTCAACTTTGAGGCCTTCAACATCTTAGGGGGTGGTTTTGAGCAGAAAAAGGGATATATTTTACATCCTATTTTTCTAAGTCACTCACTGCAGCCTTGTGGGGTCAGGAAACCTCTGAGAGCTCTGGGTGAAACAAGCAGGGCTTGAGCCAGCCCTCAGAAAGCTTCTGGGGAAGTGAGATTATAGGCAAGGGAGTTTCCCCGCTGAAATCACACTGGAGATGGGGAAAATACTCCTCTGGATGTCCAAGCCCTGCAGACACTCACAGGCGTCTGATTGAAAGTCCTTTGTGAGCTTTGAGAGCACTTCACTAAATGCCACATCTTGTAATGAGGAGCAGTATTAGGTTGGGGGTTTTAAATGGATTGATTTTAGGAGGAGGATCAGCTTCTCCAGCCAGAGAGATCCACTGAGCTGTGAAAAGTGGGCTGCTATTGGGAAGGGTGTTTTATTAAATACGTAGAGTCATGGAATGGTTTGTGTTGAAGGGACCTCAAAGCTCCTCCAGCTCCAACCCCTGCCACGGGCAGGGACACCTTCCACTAGAGCAGGTTGCTCCAAGCCCCTGTGTCCAACCTGGCCTTGAACACTGCCAGGGATGGGGCAGCCACAGCTTCTCTGGGCACCCTGCGCCAGCGCCTCAGCACCCCAGAGCTCATCTCAGCCTCCCCTCTGGCAGGTTCAAGCTATTCCCCTTGGCCTGTCCCCCCATCCCTTGTCCAAAGCCCCTCTCCAGGTTTCCTGGAGCCCCTTTAGGCCCTGGAGCTGCTCTAAGGGCTCCCCAGAGCACAGCAGAGCAGAGGGACAGGATCCCCTCCCTGAGCTGCTGCTCACGCTCCGGGGGTGCTCCCAGCACACGGGGGGTTCTGGGCTCAAGCACACACTGAAGCCGGGTCCTGGGGAGCTTCTGATCGACCAACACCCCAAGTCCTTCTCCTCAGGCTGCTCCATCCCGTCTCCCCCAGCCTGTGTCTGTGCTGGGATTGACTGAAAGCTCTACAGGGATATGATGTGTTTTGCTTGGTCACCCCATCCTTTAACACAGCACCCACTCCCGCCCCCCCCAGTTAGTAAAAAGAACACCAAAACCCCCCAAAATCCCAAGGTGAAGTTTCTTCTCCTGTGGTTTTTGGCATCTCGTTATCTCTGGCTATTAAATTGCCCCTGAGACAGAAGGTGAGAGATGGAAGATGTCCTGGTGCTTCTCTTCCAAATCTTTCTGTACCAGAGCTTGAACAAAGAGCCATCCTTGGCTTGCTCAGCCTCTTGGGGAATGCTTCTTCCTCAGTTTGGGAGGCAGGAGCAGCACAATTGGTCCTATAATGGAAGATAAAGCTGGGTTTGAGGAACCCACCATTGCCCGAGTAGCTTGATGGGAGTTTGGTGGGAAACCTCTGTGCAGGGAGGTCTCCTTCCCCCTTGGGTCTGAGGAATAAGGTGTCACATCCAGTCCATAGGAACTGTTGACAGCAGAAGTGGTTGGGTTTATGCAGCTCTTGCTTTAGTCAACAGCTTTTGCTGGTCTTAGTGGTGCAGAGGGTACCTGTGTGAAGATGAGGGAGGTCAAAGAGGAGCAGAGGAGGTTGTGTGCTTTCATGTGGCCATTCTCATCTCTGGAATGAAGAAATAAGGATATTAAATGTGGGAAGGGGGGAAATGAGACGTTTGAGGTGTCGCAGCAATCCTGGGTGTTTGCCTGTCTTCACGTTTCTCCCTGTTCTGATTTCAGGCTCAGACATCAGGCACACAAAGAGCTCTACGCCTACAAACAGGTGAGGTGATACACAGCAAGTTGTCCTCTTCTTAGTGCCAAATCCACGTCGGAGCAGGCGTTCCATCAGCTTCCCTTCTGCTGTTGTTCTCCTTGGGAAGCTTTTGCCCAACAAGAGGAGTTGTAATGCCCGGGCAAACCTCTGTCCTGCTCATTTGGTTCTTTCCTACCAGCTGAGCGCCCCAGAGCATCTCCCACCTCACAGTCTGCAGGTCTCTGTGCTTCCAGACGAGGTCCCTGAGCACTGGGGACATCCCCACCCCTGGAGCACCTCAACTGGGCAACCTCTCCATCCCTCACCTCATTTCCCACTGGTGAGCAGTAACACCACCACTTCCTCATGGTCAGACCATGCTTTGTGGGCTCCAGATCTGCTCCTGGGCTTGGATCCAGCTGCTCCAGTCCATCCACAGCCATGAGGCTCTCATAGGGACCTCTCAATGGGAACATCCCCACCTCACCTTGTTTTCCACACACACCAGTGCTAAATAACATGACCAAGAGGTTGATGTCAGGTTCCTGCTTCAATATCCCATTGTCTCCAGGGCTTGTGGAATCTTTCTGCCTCCAATCTGTTCAAGCAGGAAACTGGATGGAGTTGGGCTGATATGATTGATATGATATGATAAGATATAAGATAACACATGGTCATCCTGGATTTATAGCCCTCTCCAGGCATTTATCCTGGTGGAGCAGCAGATGTCCAGGCAGGAGCTCGTGGCAGAGTGTTGGGAGCACAGAGGCTTAAATATGGGGGGATTTGGTCCTTGGGGTAGTGGTTATAGCCCTGCCAGCACTGCCTTCCCCCTGGCTCTGCACAGGGCAGAAGACCCCATGTGCTCCCTGGCCATGCCGGGTTTACTGGGGGTTCCAGTTAAACTGGGATAATCTACTGGGATCCTTATGGAGGCTTTTCCTCCGAGTACTTGTGGCAGAAGCCGTGTCCTGACCCGGTGCTCTCTGTTACAGGTTATACTCAAGGAAAAGGTGAAGGAGCTGAACCTACATGAGGTGAGTAGTGGTAAAGGGTCCCTCACCCTCCTCTTCCTCAGTCTGGGGTGGGGTGAAGGACAGGCTCAGGCAGAAGGATGCAGCCAGTAACCATCACTCTCCTCCTCCTGGGGCCTCTTGAGCTTTCACTGCATCTTTATGGCTTTAACCTGCCAGAGGGGAGATTGAGATGAGAGCAACAAGAGCCAGTTCCATGTTTCCTCCTCACCCTCCGCTCACCGCAGCCAAGGAGCTAATTCCCAAGGGCAGGAATTGCAGACAGGGACAGAACGGTCCCGGCTTGAGGCTATTTCTGATTCACTCCCATTAACTTGCAGTGGGGTTTTTGACAGCACTGGGACTTAAAAGCACTTCCCAGGGTGAGCAGCTCGTTGCAGGAGGGATTTGGGAATGTGCCCTGGAATGGCTGGGATAACCCTCCATCTCCTCCATACTCCCCACCCGCAGCCCAGATGCTTTCAGAGAGGACGATGGGTCCGTGGGGAAGGGGATAGAGCAGCTTGAGCTCTTCCCTGGCATTTGGGAAAGGCTGGAAGAAGCAGTTTAGCTCCAGCTCCATGGAAAATATCCCTTTTTGGGCATTGGGATTTGGGATGTGCAGTGCTGGGAAGAAGAACAGGGGTGATTGTGCAACACCCGGGGCTGCTGCCAGAGCTCACCAGGAGCTGCGTGGAGGGGAAAGTGCTGCTGAGCTCCTCATCCCTGTGGATCTGGCTTTGGTTTTCCCCCTTTTCCCATCATCCGCCTCTCCCAGGGCTTCCCAGAGCTCCAGATGTGTGTGTTCCCTGGGGATCATCCCAGCCAATGGTTCCCTGGTGGCTGGAAAGTACGGAGAGGCGCCATGGCCCCCGGGGAAGCCGGAGCCTCCCGCAGCGTTGGTACCCGCCTGCTTCATCCTGAGGGATTTTGGCAGCAGGACTGGCCATTGTTTGGGAATGATGGAGACTCCCAGGCCAGGGGGGCTGGGAAAAACAGCTGGGAATATCCCAGATCCCTGGGAATAGCCAAAATGCATCAGGAAAAAATAGTGTAAGGGAACATTCCGGCTGGAATAACAACCACCGACCTTCCCAGCCCTGGGATAAGAGATGCAACCATTGCCTTCTCCTCGTCCCAGTTATCCCTGTGGATGCAGCTCCCTAAAGCCTCCTGGCACATCCCAGCTGTGTGCCTGTTGCTCCAGGGAGGCTCTGGGGTCCCCTCCACTGGGAAAGGGAGACACAAGCCTCAGCCTGGGATCCCAGTGGTTGGGCAGGGAAGCCTGGGAAGGCTTTAGGGGGCTTCTTGGTCAGACTGGAGGGTTCGGAGCTCCAGAGGAGTGTGATTTCCCTGGGGCAAAGGGAGGATTTTCCCTCCCACCCCCAGCATTGGTGGCAGAAGCGAAATTCCCCTTTTTTTCCTCAACCAAAGGCAGGGGTGAGGTGAGCACCGGGGTGGGGGAGATGGGAAGTGGCCAAGGGGGGACTTCCAGTGCCTAAAGGGGCTCCAGGAAACCTGGAGAGGGGCTTTGGACAAGGGATGGAGGGACAGGAAAAGGGGAATGGCTTGAACCTGCCAGAGGGGAGACTGAGATGAGCTCTTGGGCAGAAGCTCTTCCCTGGGAGGGCGCTGAGGCGCTGGCACAGGGTGCCCAGAGAAGCTGTGGCTGCCCCATCCCTGGCAGTGTTCAAGGCCAGGTTGGACACAGGGGCTTGGAGCAACCTGCTCTAGTGGAAGGTGTCCCTGCCCGTGGCAGGGGTTGGAGCTGGAGGAGCTTTAAGGTCCCTTCCAACACAAACCAGGCTGGGGTCAGTTTGGAGAGGTTTGTGTAGTTTGTATGTGCACAAAACCACTTCCCACCCCGACTGCTCCTCTCTGCCTCTCCCCCTCTCAGATCTGTGCTGTTTGCCTGGAGGAGTTCAAGCCCAAGGACGAGCTCGGGATCTGTCCCTGCAAACATGCCTTCCACAGAAAGTGAGTGTGGGCAACGGGGCGAACCAGGGGCTGCCCAAACCCTGCCTGGGAGCCCTGGAAAGGCTCCTGGGTCAGGGCTCCTGGTGTTGCTGCTCCTCAGCCCAGGTTTATCCCACCTTAATCCCAATCCCAGTCCCAGGGGAAGGGGGGAAATTGCAGCAAAACCCCCTTGGGGAATGAATTTAAGCATTTGGAGCAGCAAAGGTCAAGTTGTGAGCTGCCAAAACCACACATATATATATATATATATGTATACACACA